TTATTATTACTATTATTATTATTATTATTATTATTATTATTATTATTATTATTACTACTACTGTTATTATTATTATCATTATTATCATTGTTGTGATTGCAGGTGGAAGCAGGTGACGGAGGCCCATTACGGTGTCTGGGACCAGGGACTCGCGCGACTTCCCCGTGAGAACGTTACACTGAAGGGTTACCTCCAGTCCTGGAAGTACTTCGCCGCGGCTCACACAGAACTGAGGGAGCAGTTGACGTTCCGGGAACACATCGCAGAGAGCGCGGACGAACTGCTGGAAGAAATACGACAGAAATTCCCCAACAGATCTTTGGTCGGTGTCCACGTGAGACGAGGCGACTTTCTGAAGCCTGAAATGCTTCAACTGGGCTACATTTCCCCGGAAGCGACGTATTATTCAAAAGCGTTCGCGCACAAGCGCAGAGAGCTGGGGCAGGAGACGCCTGTGTTGTTTGTGGTGGTCAGCAACGATCGGGACTGGTGCGCCGCCCACCTGAACGGAAGTGACGTCGCCAACATGAACGGAAGTGACGCCGCCCACCTGAACGGAAGTGACGTCGCCAACATGAACGGAAGTGACGTCCACATTGTGCGCGCGGCGGGGGCGGAGGTCCACCTAGCCCTCCTGGCCCGGACACAACACGTCATCATCTCTGCCGGCTCGTACAGCTGGTGGGCGGGCTGGCTGGCCGGGGGAAAGGTCATCTACTACACCGGCTTTCCCAGGCCTGGCAGCTTCCTCAGTCGTCACATCAGGGCACAGGATCACTTCCCGGCACACTGGATAGGCATTGGTGACTGAAGTAACGAACACTGGATAGGCATTGGTGACTGAAGTACAGAGACTGACTGACTATCCACACTTCTGGATCGGGATTGGTGACTGAAGCAACGAACACACTGACTATCCACACTACTGGATAGGGATTGGTGATTGAAGTAAAGAGACTGACAGACTATCCACACTACAGGATAGGCATTGGTGACTGAAGTACAGAGACTGACTACACGCCACATTGGATAGGCATTGATGACTGAAGTACAGGGACTGACTACACGCCACATTGGATAGGCATTGATGACTGAAGTAACAAACAGACCTAGAGCTAATGTCCGTGTTTTTTTATCTTGAATATCCATTTAGAACGACGTCTGGACTCACTATCCTATGAATACAGGGGCGCAGTGGGGCGGTTCGTGGGTCTAAAGAGTGAGCCTGCACAATTAACTTAAAAAGCAGGTTGAAGATAGTCAAAGGCATGGGAAATGAGATGTGTTCTTCATCCTAGCCGTTTAAAGAAAATTTTAATCTACTTGAACAAGAATTCTACCCTTCGTTCTTTTGCTGCAAGCAAAGGGGTCCATTATTTTGTAGACAAAGTTGGGGATACTGTCAATGATGTCCTTGTGGATGGACATAAATGTAAGAGCATTCAGTCTCTCTTACTTACTTACTTGTCTTACTTGTCCACTGTGTTGGGGTCACTGCAGTCGGAACACGCCCATCTCTGCCCCCCCCCCTCTTCAGGATCCATCTCAGAGTCTGTCTGCTTATAGTCTCCATCATAATCTGGTTGGAGATTCAGTCTCTCTTGTCCCACTGTAGAACGGGAGAATGTCTTTATTCGTTTCAGAGGACTGAAACATGGTTCAGCCTCGACAGTCGATGATGGTGTCGTCAGTGCGGTTTCTAGGATTCTGCATATTTCTCTAAATGTTGTGTCGAGTTTGTAGTCCTTCAGAGTTGAAGAAAGGCCCTGGGTTGTACGACACTGAGCAGACCTAAATGTTTCACTACAACAGAATATTCTAATTCTGTATGTAACTTGGTTTTATTCAAAACAAAGTAGCTTTCTGCAATACAATCTAAAAGAAATGTAGGTAACGACTTTTGATTGTCCTGGAATTTGGAGGGGTCGACGATTGATATTGTATTGATTTTATTCTGCTTCTGGAAACGGTCAAATTTAGATTAACTATTACGTCGCTGGCACTCGTGTGATTCTCTGGGCCCTGTCCAAGAGACAGGGGAGCAAAGAATAGGACCACTGTATCCGTACCGCGCATGTCGAAGAAGGCGACTAAGGTCGGTTGGGCAAAGGGTTAGCAGCCC